TGATTCATAGTTCTTACATTCCAGGTTCCTATGCCGTATTGTTCTTTGCAGCATCGGACTTTCCTTTCACCATCAGACACATCCACAACTGAGCGTCCTTTCGGCTTTGGCCCAGCCGCTTCACTCTTTCTGGGGTTACTTGTACTTGCCCTCTGCTCTTCCCCAGTAGCATATTGGACACCTTCCAACCTGAGGGGCTCATCTTCCGGCGTCATATCTTTTAGCCTTTTGTTACTGTCCATGGGGTTTTCTTGGCAAAAATACTGGAGTGGTTTGCCATTTCCTTCTCCAGTGGATCACGCTTGGTCTGAGTTCTCTGCTGCGGCCTGCCCGTCTTGGGTGGCCCTGCACAGTATAGCCCACAACTTGATCGAACTACGCAAGCCCCCTCACCACGACAAGGCAGTGATCCATGAGGATCACTTTATTTTATCAACAGTACTCTAATTACATGGCTGGTTTCAAGTTTTCATGGGCTCCAAGCAACTGGTATAACTGGCCCCCTTTCCCTGTTGGTACAGCCCCTTTCTCATAACCACACCCATTCCATTTGGGCCCTCCCCTCTGGCTCTTCTTTATCCACAACTTTTTCCATTTCAGTCTGGTAAAAAGAAACCATACAAAATTTGTGTTCAGGATGAGGGGCAGACAAGAAGCAACATACACACAGGTACTTTGTTCCCCGATACAACATCTCCCCACTCTACAGACAGCTGATTCTCTTTCCCAGTCTGTTCCGTAAATGGAAAAGAGCTCCGCACCATGAGGCCATGCCCAAGGGGGCTCATGGCCTTTTAAAATCACAGTAAAACAGCCAAGGCAAACTCATGGTGGTCACAAGTTTGCCATCAGGTTTTGGCATCAGAAGCAATTCCCCCCCCCCCAAACACACTTTGGCTCTGAAGTGCACAAGCAGCAGCAGCTTGCTTCATGCCAGAGAGGAGTCACTGGCTGCTTCTGCATCACCTACACCAGAGTGCAAGGGAACAGGGAGGTGGATCCTTCCGTTCACTCTCCTCTGCTTCCACGAGTGGGCCCATGGGAAATCTTTGGGCCCTGGCAAATAGCAGACTTTGTAACCCTTTGCTGCTGGCTTTTACTGTGAACCTCAGTCTCAACATCCATGGGGTAATGAAGGGAGTTGGAGATTTCTCTTTGAGCTATTCTGGGTTTATGCCATGAAGGTTTTAACATCAGCTCCTTAAAACAAGCCTAAGAACGACAATATGGTCAGTGCAATTGCTGCTTTCGCTAGTTTTATATATAAACCAACCAGAAGGTAGATAGCTGCAGTCTACATCGTGTATACATTTTGTACCATATTTAAAGCGAGCAGGTATTCCCCAGGCTCACTATCAGAGTACATAAGGAAAGAAATCACTGAAACCAATATAAAATCATTGCATGATTTCTCAGTAGTTTTTTCAAAATGGTCATAGAAAATACAATGGTTCACACTGTTGAATTCAAGGAGGGAGAATGAGAAGTAGAATATAATTGCGTTTCCTGACTAAAAATATGTAGCCAGATCCTCACAGTGACCTTTTCAATCTCCAAGTGTATAATTTATTGCAACTTACCTCATGGGTTGATGCCATCATATTGTCATGTTTTCCTTAGAACTGATAGTTATCAGCTACTATGGCTAAAAGCCAGTGATACACCTCCATGAACCTGTCCATCTCCCTTCTAAATCCATCTAAGCTGTGGCCATCAGTACATCTTATGGCAGTGAGTTCCACAAGCCAACTACCCACCATAGGTAATAGCAGTTCCTTTTCTCTGTATTTACTGCCAATCACTTACATAGTATAGCCCCTAGTTCTAGTATTATGGAAGGCAGAAAAGTTTTTCTGCTCGATTTCTCAATACCAAGCATAATTTTGTACAATTCTATCATATCAGTCCTCACTCTCCTTTTTTATGAACAAAAAAAATCCCAGAATGCTTTAGCCTCACCTCAAAAAGAAGGCATTCCACCGCTGGGTGATCATTTTGGTTGCTCTTTTCTGCTCTTTAAAGGAGACAGCTCCAAGTATCCTCCATATAGTGCAATATATTTAGACTGATTCTACAAGAAGAAGACACTGCCTTGTCTGCTTGCGGTTCCGGATCGTATTCAGGATGGAGAGGCTTGGTCAGCCTACTGCCCCGTTTAAATTGACCACTCACACACAGTTTCTTTGGCAATTAGGTGGATAAAATTGGCCACAACTTTATTGATTACAGCTGTTATAGGCATTGGCGCAGCATGGGTCCACCGGATCCTACCCGCCAGCTGACCCGTCCGCCAGCCGCGGTATCCGTTACCCAGCCAGCCGGCATGGGTAGAGACTGCGGGATGGCAGGTTGCCAGAGTTCACCTGGACGCCTGCCCCTGCGTGAAGTCCCCTGCCACCTGGCGGTGAGGGCAATCGCTGTTAGTCCTTGTGTTTGCAGCTCCCGGTCTCTGTTGGTCGGGTGGTGATGGCGACCGGCTTGATCGTTTATAAACTAGCCTCCCCTTCCCAGCCACCCTGCTGCCTGGCAATTGGCCTGGAGAGGGAGGGGAGGCGCCTATCTTCCCGCCACTCACCCGGCCCCTCCCCACCTTGACCCAGCGACTGGCCAGCCTCTCCCTCCCTCGTCTGGCCTCGCAAATGGCGGGCCTCGTCTACTCGGGCCCTTCCTGCTTCCTGGTGCCTAATGGCTAAAAGTAATAGAACCAGAATGTTTCCTTCCTTCCTTCCTTCCTTCCTTCCTTCCTTCCTTCCTTCCTTCCTACCTACCTACCTACCTACCTACCTACCTACTGTTGATTTAAAATTTTCCATTGAACTATGGATTTTTTGTTCTAGTCATTCAAATTTTATTTAAAATGAAATCTCTGTCTACAGCCAATCTTTAACAGGCTATATTTTATTTAACCATTATCTCAAAATATGCCAATATGTCCTTTATAAGAGGGTTCTTCCCTTTATTAAAAGACAGTAAAAGAGATAGATGTTTGGGAGAAATTAGCAGCTTAACCCCCACCCCCCACACACACACACACACACACACACACACACACACACACACAGAGTGCATCCAGATCGGACTCATTATGGTCAGGAGTTGTAAAGAATATGGAAATGGCAAGAGTAGTTAGAAGTGGAATTAGGATTCCTTAATTTTGATACTCTTGATTTTATGCTAAAGTGGACAGTATGTAATGGGTACATATTTTGACAGCGTACATATTTGGTATGTTTTTATTCCTTTTCTGTCTTTTTGGTAGTGTTGTAGTCAATAAATTTTAATTAATAAAAATGTAATTGAAAATTGAAATGTCAAATTTATGCATTGTAAGCAAAGCTTATTGAACTGTGAGCATACATTGGCTTATTCCAATTAACTTGCTAAAGCTTTAGTACAGGGGTCAGCATCAGCAACCCAAGACATGTGTGGCAGACAGCAGCAGAACATATCATTTTGCTTGACATGCAGGGCAAATTCTGTGTTCGTGATGCCCCTGAGGTGCTGAGAGTGCCACTGAAGTTCAGCTTGCTTATAAGTTGTTCTGGTTAAGTTCAACCCTCCTCTTTCTCCCCCACTTTTGTTTGTTGGCACACCAAAATCTTCACGGACATTGAGCAGATTAAATTTATTCCCTTAGCAAATAAGGTTGAATTAAATTGGTTTAAGAGTGAAGAAGTTATTTCATTCTTCAGTTATAGTAAATGAAATACAAGTATGTTTGTAAATGTACAAATTCCATTTGAAATGCAATTGGGGGAAAATTAGAATTCCACCTGGAAATGTTAGTCCATCCCCGACTATAAAGCATGGTGATATGAAAACTGCTAGAAGTTATTATGAATAAGTGAGTGGTCTTGTGTGGGCAGAAAACAGAAACAAAAGAAGTTGGAATATGCACTTAGAGATATTTAATATATGGTTCATGATTTCAAGCTGAAAATGAATGTATTCAGCCATCTATGGACTTTGTTGAGCAGGAGTTTCCTGCTTCCCCCTCCCACTGCAGTCTACTGAGCCCCCCTTGGTTGGTCAGCAAACCCTCAATAACAGCATTTGGGGAGTTGGTGGGAATTGCTCCCTCTCTTTTGAAGAGCTATTAAGTCTTTGGAGCTGCGTGGCTGGTTACATATCATTGTGTTTGGCACTGTAAGGTCACACACGCTACCTTTTCTCTGCATTATTTAGCAACATTTCTAAAATAGTTGTGTATGATTATGAAATAGTTCAATCTATAGTTTATGGTATGTGAACTACTGCTAATTAAATGGAATGTAGATTAGTATGACTTTGAATACTTAAAGTGCATGAATACATATGTGTGATTTATTTGATATCCTGTCAGTGTTTAACTATGAACAAATAGCTTTGCTATCACTAACTGATTTAGGTGCATTGTGGGCAGGCATCAAGACAGAAGGTGGATTGTCACAAACACAGTCACCTGGACAGACAGGCTTTCTAAGCTACGGTGCTAGCTTTGGCACTCCCCAACCAGGACAAGCTCCATACAGTTACCAGATGCAAGGTCTGTATAAATAACTAGTATCAATTTGGTTTATATATTATTTTGGTTTACTTTATTCTTTTAAAAAACATGAATAAAAGATATAGGTTACCAGCTGATGCTGATATGTTCTTTTGTGTAATTTGTGTAAAAATGTACATAATTCAGCCAGCTATAAATGAATTTTAAAATTCCACTGTTGTGGTTAAAATTCATATTCTTCAGTTCACTCCTTCAAACTAATGTATTAGTGGTCTTTCTTGTAGTCAAAACCAACATTTTAACATAGAAATTCTATTTTGAAAACAATAGTTCTCTACTGTGATGGAAAACAGAACTGCATGAAAAATCATATTAAGATTATAAATATAAACTGACATGGTTTCATCTGTTAGGTGTGTGTTCTGTATCTGTAAATTTAAGATGACGTTCCCGACAAGCTAACTTGTCAGAATGATTTAGTTAATGTTTGCTGTATACATGGGAAGTTGTATGGATGTTTAGATATGATCAGTTGTAGATTTTTCTCCCTAAGCAGTTTTAAGTGTTTACTTGATATTTCATATTACGGCTAATACATTTTATGTTTTTCTGTGTCAGTACTTCTGGAATCTAATTCTCCTTAGAAAGATTTTTGAAAGATTTAAAACTCACCAGAAATATAATCTCTAATTTTAGACGGGTCAGTGAAAGTTGTGGATGTTGAGCCCCTGAAAACCTTAGAACAGATGTTATGAGGCAGACTAATGCTAGTGTATTAGATAGATCATACTTCATTGATACTGAATAGCTTTCAGGATGTATTGATCTGGTCATTTGCTTGTAAGCAAGGGAAATTTTTACCTTTTGAATTGAAAGCAAACTGTATGACTTAGACGACTATCTTGACATAAGGTCTGCATTAAGACCGACCTTCTTACAACACAGAGAACAGGATTTTAAATAATCCCTTTCAGCTATCTGAAGTTTTCTTAGGTAAAATCCCTTTCAGCTATCTGAAGTTTTCTTAGGTAAAATGAAGGCATTTTTAGAACAAACATAAGTGCTTTTCAGGGTCCTTAATAGTCCCTAAAAATGCCCCTCGCTCATTTTGTTATCGGCTTGATTGCTGCTCAGCTGCTATTTCAGTGGCACTTTTTTTTTTTTTTTTGCTTAAATCAGTCATTGGATTCTTTGTGGGAATAATGACATCATCACATAGCAAATCAGATTTGGCCATATGACAACATTACTGAAATGAAACCTAGTTGCAGTGAGGACAATATTTCTTGCCTTGTCTTGCTCTTACTCTGAACACATGAACACTTGATGTCCTTTGAAGAACTCCCCACAAATTGCCAAAATGAAAAGGGCTTTTCACAGGGATGAAAATATTACAAAATGCCCTCCTCCACCTCCATTTTCAGGTCATCCTGTATTAATCATGACTAATTTCAGGGATGTTACATGTCAGAATAGGATGACATGTTTGCTTGTTGCTTATGTACCAATGCTGATTCAAGATGCCTAGGCCATCCTGATTTCATCAGAAGCTAAGAAGGGTTGACCCCGGTTAATACTTGGATGAAAGACCATGAAGGAAGTCCAAGATCACTACACAGGCAGGCAATAGCAAGCCACCTCTGTTTGTCTGTTCCCTTGAAACCCGTACAGGGTCCCCATAAGGGAATTGCAGCTTGACGGCACTTTACGGACACCCAGTGCTGATTTAAACATGTGCTATCTGAGGTCCCAAATAGATGTGACAAAGTCCTCAATTTCCCCATGGCAGATTCACCACCAAATTCCCTTTGTTTACAAAAATTGCAGATGCCCACTCCTGATTGAAACAACAATGTGAGGGAAAGGAGGGACACCCCCCACGCACACACACAGAATTTTCAAGAGTTTACAATGCCTGAGATTTGGATCCTTGAAAATGGTGTGTGTGTGTGGGGAATAGGTGCTCCTCTCCCCCGCATCAGTGTCCCAACCAGGATCAGGCTCCCACAGCTTTGTAAAAAAGGGAAATTTAATCACTAAAATGGCAGCAATGATCTATGTGAATTCAGGGACACTATCACTTCTAGTTGGGCCCTGAGATGGTGCTGTCTTTACTGAGGATTTTATGTCAGCTTTTATGAGTTGCTTGTTTTAAAGCTCCTTATTTGAAATTTATGCTCTATATATAAACTTAGCAAAATCATGTCAGAGCGCGCGCACGAAGAGGACTCCAGCCGGGATTTCGATTTGGCAACCCTAAGGGTACAGGAAAGTTTGCTCATAGGAGCTAATCTGATCAGAAAGCACTTGAATCCTTGTCATGTAACTGATTCATATCAGTTTCTGACCAGCACAATGGGTAGATCCAAACTTGCACAAGTGGAAAAAAACCCCTTCCTTCCCTTTCCACCAGAAGATCACTGTGTGTCTCCCAAAACCTCTTCTAAGTATGGGGGGGGGCACTCATAAACAAACTGTAGCATGACATGGAGTTGGCTATAATGATTAAGGGAACATGGAGAGCCATCTGTGAAACAGATTTTCCTAACCTCCCACTGCAGTGGTTCCCAAAACCTTGCTAGTGAGCCCTGAGGAATTTAGGAACCAAATGAGATATGATATGGGAGGAGAAATTGGAGAAAATCACTTTGCCCATTGTAGAAGCATCTTTCCTCTAATCAAAGAAGTCTTGGATCATAACTTAACTGGTATGGTTCTGCCTGAATAGTCTAGAGGCAGTCTGAGTAAAATTGCAGCCCTAATTGATAATATAGTAGGTAGACATGTATATACAGAGCTAGCAAGTTAGTGGTTCAGTTCCTACCTGAGAATGATACAGGACAGATAATGGATTCTCTCGTTTTTGTTGTTGTTTTTATGGTATTTTGATGCTTATTAATTTAGATTTTAGTTAAGGATTTTTTTTTAGTTAAGGATTTTAGTAAAGTTCTGTATAAAGCTTCCGCATAACTTGCAACTAATTCTGAATCATGGGGCTTATTGGTTCTAGGCTATGCTTGGCCAACATATGATGCAGCAATCATTAAGGCTAAGCTGGACTGGATTTGGGCAGTGCCTAGAGGTGAAACCTCCTGAGAACCCTTGCTTCCTTGAGTTCCATGATGGAAGAAAACTGGATGTAAAAGCAACAAATAAATGCTGTTTTATTTATTATTCTGTTGCCATTCTTCATCTTGTATTTTCTGTTGCTATTCTTCATTCATTCTTTGAAAAAGTATGTTTGTTTCAATTTTGAATATACATACTTGCCTGCTTTCTAGTGGTGCAAAAATATGTTTTCTCACTATATATGTGTGATAAACTTGGCATTAAGGATGCTATTTTTGTTTTAACCTTGTTTTAACCTTTCTGTCTTCAGCTGTGCATGTATTAAAGAACACCATAATTCAAGAATCAATGTTGATAACTGGTTGTTATGCATACAATAGTGTAGGGCCAAGGGTGCCCTCTGGAGTGCTGGTGCTACCCAGCATTCTGCTCCTTCAATGGGGACAGTCTTAGTTAGGACAGATGGTCAACCAGAGGTGTGGTTCACGGCATCCCAGAGATCCCCCTCTCTCCTGGCTGTCTAACTCTTCTTAGCTTTCAGAGGTTGCCTAGTCATCCTCCTCCTCCTTGGCTGTCTGAGCCCTTTGTAAACAATAGTGCTGTGGTAGCTGCACCAGCTCTGGGCCTGCCCCTGAGCTCACCAAGGAGTGGTTCCACCTGGGAACCAAGGGATGGAGGAGACCCTGCCTGCTTCATTGAAGAGGCCCTACCCCTCCTTCAGATAACAAGGCCCAGCTGGCCATGGCCCATGTTTTCCACCATTCTGCTTTCCACTGGGGCCTCAGTGCTGGCACGGGGTCCAAGTATATTGGCCAGCCCCACACTGCCCCCAAGCAATCCACTTCCCTGTGGAGCCTGGCACAGAAGACGGTCTGGCA